ATAGTGCTGGCCATCTGGCCATTAAGGACAAGCTGCTGCCAGGGTGTCTCTTTCCATCTCATTTGAGGAGCTCTGGAGCCTGGGACAGAGACCCCCAGGGAGATCCTGGCTAAAGATCATTCCAGCATCCCTTCAGATGTTGCACAAAAGTGGGGCGGGAAAGGGGGAAAAAAGAGGGGAACTGATAAGGAAAGGAAATGTGCTGCTCCTCTGACTAAACAACACACAAACAACAACAACAGTTGCAGCAGTAGCAGAAGCATGAATAAACAGCATTACAGAGAAAGAAAGAAAAGCAATTGGCAGCAACAAAAGAATAAATGTCTTAAGCGTGAGGCAGGAAAGTGGGGAAACAGAAAAGGGATAAAATAAATAAAACAGGCACCACAAATTAAGAAGAATGAGGGGATAAAAACTGGGGGAGTGAGAGAAGAATAGATAAAGCAAAATATAATGAAGATTAACAGTTTAAGTAGGGGGAAGGAGTGGCTTAGTTTTTTTGTAAAAAAAACAACAACCCTATTTTCTAACCCTCAAAGTTTACCAACAGCTTGTGTTCCATTATATACATTGTGCAATGATGGCCATCAGAAATAAATGTTGTTTCACCTAATTGTTTACCTTCAATTATTAGATAAGGAGGAACCAGTCATTGTGATTATGCTGTAGGTAAAGTTTGTCCCTCTTAGGATCTTGGATTTATTCTTCATCTGCAGTTTCTAGAGCATGGGTGGTCAATGAATAATGGCTCCTATCCTAGTATTAGGAGCTCCCTGAATTCAGGTCTCTGACAAGAGGGGTCTACCTTTCCCTAGTAGTCTACTAGCCAGAAGAACAGTTGGAGAGAGGAGGGGGAAAAGAGTGGAAGAAAGGGAGTTGAAAGTGGATGGCAAAAAGAGAGGGGGGATGATCTGCTTACTTTTGGTTCTGGCCCCACTCACCACTGGCTTCAGCCCCACCCATACAAGCATGTGCTGGCAAAAGAAAATGGTTGCCAACCCCTGGTCTACAGAAATGGAAATCACCCTCATAGTCCCCACCATCAGTATTATCATCATCAACAATAACAAGATGTTCGGGGAGCTGAAGACTAATTGTTCTGTGTAGAAGATAGATCAATGACACACGCACACATCCTTTGATTGTGTATTCCTGCATGGCAGGGGACTGGACTGGATGGTCCTTGTGGGCTCTTCCAACTATGATTCCTATAGATACACACACAACCCCTGCAGCTCAAATCTGCCTGAATTGTTCTATCTTGTCAGTCTTTAGAAAACTTATAATAAGGAATTGTAGTCTAATGGGCATCTAGTTGTTGCTGTATACATTGAAGTCATTCCTGATGTAAGGCAACCCTAAGGCAAACCTGTCACAGAGTTCTCTTAGGAAGATTTGTTCAGAGGGGCTTTGCCATTGCTTTCAACCAACATACTGTGATTTTCTTAAGATCATTCAATGGGCTTCTATGGCTGAGCAGAAATTCAAACCCATGTCTTTCTGAGTCCTAATACACCATGCTAGCTCTGGAAGGTGTCTAGTGCCTTTGATATTTTAGAGATCAGGTTAAGAAAAAAAATCAGCCAAACCAGTCTGTAATTTTAAGATCATAATTAGAATGTTTCAAATTCACCCATGCTTAGGATGTGTCATGTTTGTCCACCATTGACCCTTATATCCTCTAGGAGTTTCTTCCAATTGTGTGAATAAAATTCCTTGTAAGTGATTGAGCTGGAAAATTTTGATGATGATGATGATGATCATCATCATCATCTCACCTTTCTTCCAAAATTGGGACTCAAGGCAGCTTACAATTTTTTAAAAATACAGCTAAAATCATACTTAAAAATGAACATTAAAATGGGGTTAAACTATTGACAATATTAAAATAATTTAAACTACTATTAAAAAGATAAAATACCATTAAAAGATTTTTTAAAAAAACAAAACAGCTCAGTCTAACATTACTTTTTTTAAAAAAAACTTTCCATTTTAAAAGCTTTCCAGAATGAAAAGGTCTTTGCTTGGCAATGGAAATATGAGTGAGGGGCCATTCTGACCTCCCTGAGAACAGAGTTCCAGAATCTAGGGGCAGCCAGAGACAAAGTCCTTTCTCAAACCCCATTGACCACACTTGTGATGGCCGTGGGACAGAGAGAAGGGCCCTTATTGAAACTCTCAGGCACTCATACTGCACACTGATATAAGGCATTGTGCAGGTAGTCTGCTTTTTCCCTAATAGATTTCTTCTGGTAAGAAGAAAAATCCATAAGAAACACAGCAAAACATGGAAAGGTCACCAACTAAAAATGAAGTCTGGATCTCCCATGGTCTCACAGATCTCCATGAATGAGGAAGTCCTCATCTGGTGGTACCATTGGAGGATTGTTGCTGGTCAGTTTAGACATTCAGAGCTAGGCTAGATAAGCAAGCTATGACTCGGTTGTAAGAAAGCTTCGTATTAGGCTGGGCTGAACTCAGAGAGTGCCACTGAATATGTGTAGCAGGGGATGGGGAGGAATGTAACACTGATAGAAATCATTTCAGTGAAGAAAAGGACCCATCAAAATACGGGGGTTGTGTTTAAAGTTAGGTGGGCAACATGTGGCCCTCTTGATATTGTGGTGTTGCAATACCTGTTGGTCCTAGTCAGTATAGCCATTGGTGAGGGATGATGGAAGTTGTAGTTTAACAATATTGATGGGTGCATATTCCTCTACCCTGCTTCAATCCCTTCTTTTACTGCTGATGAGCACCATAATATGAAGAGGGAGAGCAGAGAAATTCAGATAAATTATTAGAGAATAAAACCTGTAAATAATGTTGACAAGTCTGTTCTACAAAGGATGCATTTAGTGGGAGATTTTGTTTTGGTTTTGTTTTCATTTTCAAAGAAAAACTATTCTGACTAGGAGCAGAACACTGGTTCATTTTTAGACTGGGATGTTTTCAAAACTCTTTCACTTAATTGCAAGGAGGGTGTGACAGACCATATGTCATTGTGCTTTTCTTGTCGTCTGAAACAACAGTGCCTCAGGAAACAATGCGCTTGGAGGTGGGAAGATCCACTGGTTATTAATCAGGTGTCACCATCCTTGTTTGGATTTTCTCACCAAGCAGGGAATAGAAGGAACCTGAAACAAGGAAGGGGAAGTTTTATTTTTCAGCAACTGGGATATGAAGATCAGGAAATTAATTTTTTTTAAAAAAAATCACACTGACAGAGATAAACTAATAAATTCTCAAGACAAAAATTGCCACTATGTTGCATTTACAGTCGCTCCTCCATTTTCACAGGGGATCCATTCCAGACCACTACCACCCCACATAAACAGAAATTCACCAATATTCAAGCTCCATTGGCTTGAATGGCAGTGCATGCCCAGGCACCCCATTTTGTCCCCCTCCGTTTGCCGCCGCCTGCGAACAGGCAAAGGATGCAGACTCCAAGTCCGTAAAAACAGAGGGGTGATTGTAAATTAAAAAGCTTTTTAAAAAAAAAAAAAACCATACATTACATTTAGACCTACATTAGTTGGGAAATTCCCAAGACTAAATATACTACTGACAATTGGCTAGATGAATTTTGCCCAAGAACAAAAAAGGTAGATATTTCCTCCTTAGAAGTCCTTTCACTTTAAAAAAAAGTAGAGGGGAGTCTGTCAGGTAAGTTGGTATTTTAGTGGGCTTTCTCCACAGTGTTGTTGTAGCCTGAGATGGCACAGCCTAACTGTGATCCAGTATCCATGAGCAGATTCCCTGGAAGATTCATCTCTTTTACTGATACAGGATTCCTTTTCTTATCTCACAAGCATTGTATGGGCAACTACCTGTCCCTATATTGGGTAGGATGTAAGAAAGAAGAAGAAGAAGAAGAAGAAGAAGAAGAAGACCACCTGACCTGTTGCCTTTGGAGAGATAAAGCAGAGATGGCAATGATACCGTATGGACTTGGACTTGGAATGATAGCTTAGCATTAGGTGGAAGCATTATTAGCTGGGACCAAACACTCAGGCAGACATAGGATTTCAATTAAGTTCCTCATTACAACCCCAACTCCATCCAGTTTTCCTCTTGCAAAGATGGAAAGATTAGTGCACTAGGAAACGTCCACTAAGGGAAGTGGATGCCCACTATTCTCCTTCCACTGCACTCCCATTCAGTGTTGTACTAACACAAGGGGATTTAAGACCTATCCCATTCCACCCACTGTATGTAAATCTGGTACAGAACTTTGTTGTTGTTGTTGTTGTTGTCTGCCTTCAAGTTTTTTCTGACCTATGGCAACCCTAAGATGAACCTATAATGGAGTTTTCGGAGACCTGGATTATTCAGAGACATGGGGTGGGGTGTTATCAATATGCTGATGACACCCAAATATACTTCTCCATGTCTCGGTCAGAAGCTTTGATGACAGATGGCATTTCTCCTCTCAATCAGTGTCTTGAAGCGGTAATGGACTGGATGAGGAAAAATAGACTCAAAACTCTAAGTACAAAATGGAGGTACTTACAGTTGAGGGCCCCAAACCAGGTATTGGGTTGCAACCTCCAGTCCTAGATGGGGTTACACTCTC